ATCCCTTTTAGAAAACACTGGAGCTGCTGTCTGTGCCCTGGGTTTTTTTCCTCCTTCCCTCGCCCTCGCACAAAGCAGCTATTACTGGCCCCGACCACAACAAATTAATGGGGTGGGAGAGGGAGGTGTGAATGGAGGGGTCTGTGCAGGGAGGGTGGCCAGCCCCCCCATCACCCCTGCTCCTGCCAGGAGGAGGGAACCCTGCACTGACCCCTTGCCCTGCAGCAACCCCCAGGGGAGAGAAAGTCCCAAGGAGGAAAGGGGCTTTCAGCTGGGGAAAGGTGCTGCTGCCCCCCTCCCCGCTCTCCCACGCTCACCCTTGGCAAAGCCATCAGGGCTCCTCAAAAGCAAGAACTGGACCTGGCCATATGGCTTGGGCCACCTCTGCAGCTGCATGGGATGCCCAGCAGGTCTGGGACAGGATGGGGCTGCAGCCAGGTCACCTGGCGCTGGCCCTCCAGCCCAGGAGGAGGAGGAGATGCCAGGAGGGCACAGTGAGCAAGGAGCCACAGGCCATGGCCTGCACCAGCCCGTGGCCAGCCATGCAGCAGGTAAAGAGAAGAGAAAGGACCTTATGGGCTCAGCATCAGGCTGAGAAGGTCCCCATGTCATCCCCTGGCCTCCACTCCCTCCCTGTCCCCACTCACCCAGCTCACACTTCCTCACCCCTCAGACCACTCATTCCTTCAACCCTTCTTCCCACCGCAGCTCTGCCCAAACACTTCTTGGACTTCAGGGCCTTCTGAGCCTTTCCCATGGACACTAATCTCATCAGGATGAGGATAATTCCATGCCAACATGGAGCCTAGGAACACATAAGCCTTCCTATTTGCTTTGCCCTGGTTCACTGCACCAAGGGTACCACCACCACCACTTGCTGCTCGGGGGCCACCTCTGTTTGCCCAGCACAGCAGCTGGGGAGATGTCCGGGTGCTGAGGCAAAGCAGATTTACCTCCAATTCCCCAAGGATGAATAAAACCATCCCAGGGGACATTCCTCTCCCCCTGCACCACCGAGCTGTGCACACCTCACACCTTCTCCCCACAGCTCCTGTGCGGAGCTGACGGCACCACGGCTGGTGAGAAAGGCAGTGAATCAAAGCTGCTTTGTGTCCGAGGCAAACAAAGGCAGCCTTATGACGGAAATAGGTGGGGATTCTTGGAAGGTTTCCCCCGACTGCAAAGAAACACACTGTAAAACAGATGCACAGAGACAGGCTGGAGCTGCCTGGCCCCGGGGAGCTGATCCTCTGGGTGCCCATGGTGGGCTGTGGGACGCAGAGGAGATGGCAACGGGGACATGAGCCAGTGTAGCCAGAGGGACAGTCACCAGAATGAAATGTTTAGAGGCATTTGGGTCTCTACAGAGTGGAAGGTGGGGAGCAACCAAGAGAGAGGTGTTAGAAGCAGAGCCTGTCTTGTCTGATGGGTCACCCATGTCCAGCTAGCAGACATTGCAGACAAGGAGAATAACCCATGGCTCATCCTCAGCCTACAAACATGCACTGACATAAGGAAAGAGCAGCTTAGGGGACACTGCGCCAGGCTCTGCCTGGGGATGCACGTGCTCTGCCACTGTCACCCTGGCTGGTGTGGGAATGTCACTTGGGTGCCTCCATTTGGGTAGGATGGACTCAGGTGTCCTTGGAAGCATCAAGGAGCCTACATGCATTGGATGTGTTTCCTGTCCCAGCTTCCCTATCCATAAGATAGGGGTGATGAGAGTGACATCCTCCCTAACCTTCTGGGTCTGGGCACAGAAACACAGATGTAGGAAGGGACACGTGCCACCTGCACATGAGCTCTGCAGAGAGCCAGTGATGCTGGGCTGGCTCTGCCCTGGCACTGCCTGACCCTCTTCCACAGCAGAGCCCAGTGCTGCAGTTTTAAGGAAGAGAAGGTAAAACTGTGGCACCCTGGCAGAACTCCACCAAGGACCAGCTCCTGGTGGTGAGAGGGAAAGACTCCACATCCCCCAGGGACGCACCAGGGCTGGACCTCCTACCCCCCGCTCGCCTGCCAACTGCTATGGCACCACGCTGGGAGACTCCAAGTTCACTTTCAAAAAAAAGTTGGCATCTCTGCATATTTGCAAGGTCAAGGCACAGAAAGCCTTCTATAAGCCTAAACCCTTGTTTTCAAGGGCCTATTCTTTTACAAACTGATTATGAAAGCAGGCTACATATTCTTAACAAGCCCCTTTTCACTAGGGCTTTCAGTTCCCTCCAGTGTATAATGTGCATGTGTATTCTTGCATGGCAGGCCCTTACATACTGTTTTGATTGTTATCGTCTTGCCATGAAAGGGCCGATTGTTTTGGGCTCCCAAGATTACATCATGGCTCCCACTCGGGGCCGCCCCGTCGAGGTGTTTGATCAGGGCTCCCAGGTGGGAAGGAGCCACGTTTCCCCATTCCTGCCCCACCTGCTCGGCACCGCCGCCGGCACCTCCTGCCCCGGCCAGACCGCGGGGGTGAGGAGGCAGCCAAGGAGCTGCTGGGGAGGAGGAAAGGGGTGCAAGGGGGTTGCCCCCCAGCCCAGCCCACCCTCCAGTCCCCAGGACACAACCTGAGCCACCCATGGGTGTGAAGGGCTCCAGGTGACTCCATCGCGTGGATGGGGGGGTCGGTCTCTTCTCCCTACTGACAAGCAGAGGGACAAGGGGAATGGGCTCAAGTTGTGCCAGGGGAGGTTCAGATCGGATAGTAGAAGAAACTTCTTCACTGAAAGGGTTGTTAAATGCTGGGACAGGCTGCCCAGGGAGGTGGTGGAGTCACCACCCCTGGAGGTGTTTAAGAGATGTATAGAAGTGGTGCTGAGGGGCATGGTTTAAGCTCTGGACTGAGTAGAGTTGGGCTAATGGTTGGTAGGGTTAGATTATGGTTGGACTTAATGATCTGAAAGGTCTTTTCCAGCCAGAATGATTCTGTGATTCTGCAAAAGCAGGTGGGATGGGAGGGGGTTACTCCCATGGATTTGCCCTTTGATAAGGCCTATCTTTCATCTCAGACACTCAAAGCCATCAAACAAAAAGTGGATACAAACCTACCATGCCTTTTCAGTGCAGCCACCAGCCCCGTTATCCACAGGGACACAGAAATGCAAGGAACAATGTGGGAAGGCACCCCAGGCAGGGGCTGCAGCACCTGCTGCCCATCACACGATGCCTCGAGCCTGAGAGCCCTCAGCTCTCCTCCCCACCAACAAAAACACCAACTTCCTGGTGGCCACTGCACAATTTTCAAGTTACATGGACAAACAGACAGACTGGGAAGTCTGTCCGAATGAAAGCTTCCCAAGCAGCACCAGGGCAGCCAGGGCATCTGAACGGGAGTGAAGGAGACAAGAGAAGCAGCAGGAAAGGATTTGGGGCACAAAGCAGGGGAAGGGCTGCAGGGGTCAGGAAGCAGGAAGGGACTGGATGGTCCCCGCATGGCCACCCACCTCCAAGGAGAACTGCAAAAGCAGCCACTTCCACACCTCTTCCTGCCTCTTCTCCTTCAATCACTCAGCTCTCAAGCAACATATCACCTGCTCCGTGTCACATCTGCCTGCCTGGCCCTCTGCCAGCCTCAAACATACACCTC